TTACAAGTAACTAATATCCATGGTATCAACAGAGATGGGTCTTCGCGCATAGCAATCCTGCTCGGTGACGATGACCGAAGTGCCATTGCCTACAGTGTGCGTCAACACATCGCCGACAAACCTGGACACGGCGCGTGCACTGCACGAACTTGGCACACAAACTGCCCATCGGAGAATCTCGCCGCGACCGAAGCGTCCCTATGAAAAGTAAATTGAAGGATTGAAAAAGAACTCCCTCCAGAATAAACTTCAACTCTTCTACTAAGAGCCTTGAATTAGTAAAATAAATGGCGCAACCCACGAAAAAAGGTTATTATCATCAGAGACCACTGCTCACTTTGTATCGAAGCTCTAGTACTCGTAGATGGTATAGTTGTATATTACGTATCATTAAAATAAATAGTATGATATACAATTTTACATAAAATTGTAATAATTCCAAACGATGACAGTAAAATATCCTCAATTAAATCAATCCAAGGCGTTATCGAAATCGACACATCCTTCAAAGTAACAAACAGAATCTTATTAAACCGGTAAATAAGAAAATAAATAGCAATTTGGAATTCATCAAACGATTGGTGACACATTAAATTCTTTATTACCTTCTTGGCTTCCTCTCCGCGACTCCATTTTATCGTCGCAAGGCAGTACTCGCCTTCGACTACACCGCCTTTCTCACCGCGATCGTCGATAGCGACGCACTCGTCGAAGTTGCCCAGGTGATAGGAGGAACCGAATAGAAGACCTTGCGGTGATTTTGCTGATGCATCGAACACTGAAATTATAGATAACAGAAATATAACAACACGAAATTAAATTACCTATAGTGTCAATTCTTTCATGGTCAGAGGATATCCTCTCCTAACTCGTCACGTGTCAGTCGATATTTGTCAAAAACATTGTCGTCTGTTAAGCATTAATAGTAAATTCTGAACATCCTTCTAGAACTTTCAATAGATAACAAATTAACTTGGTTCATACACTTAGTTTGTCGATCAGTTCTGATAAAAAAGTACGGTAGAAAACTGCAATCCAATAAAGATAAATAAATAATAAGTCAATACAAAATTTAGTTTGTAACCACAAAGTTGTCGATCAATCTTCCAAATCTCTTTGTTAGACAATGTACAAAGAATCCTGTCGGCGTTGGTAGTTACGGAAAACGGCTGAGTCCTTGCGACCGTCCTCGCTCGTAATGGCTTCCTCCTGACATTGACGTAGCAGATGAGAACGATAATTTCTTTTCTTGCGCTAAATTAGCTTTTATAAGATTTACCGACGGGTTTAAGGGGATCTATTGACAGAATAAACCCCCTGATAAGGTGCCGTGACACACTTTAGTCTTCATTTTCTAGAAATACCCTTGCGATTACAAGCACAGCCCAAATAAAATATTGTGCAGTAGTAGTTAAAAGAAACTGTATTAAAAGATTACTAACAGTAGCAATAAAAACACATATACAAATTTAAATATTGCGAAGTAATAAATATTTAAAAGTACAATGAGTATATTTCCATACTCGAGCTATTTTCAAATGAAATGTTAACTGGAAAGTATTGGAGGATAAGTGATTGATCGAAGCACAATGAATGAGGCTCTACACAATTTCCATGAGTACAAATTGAGATGAATGTATGAATAACAAAAGCTACGCTTGGTATTAAAAATATACGTAAAAGCTACTTCGTTAAATGAATCTAAAGAAGCTTTATTGTATGCTAAATAGTTTGTATAGACTTCAAGTGTTAAACGTTCAAAGCGCTAGTTGCGCTTAATTTTTGCGTGAATAATTTGATATGTAAATTTATTTTAAAATTCAGATTTATTTTATCCGGATTTAAAATAAAATGGAACAGAAACGTTTGTGTTGTTATAATTTCTACGTAAACTTAACGATAGCAATAATACCTGCGTGTAATTTTGAACTTGTATTATGTTATATCGTTTTAATTTTCACAATTGTACTTCAGATACGTAAATCGTATGTTTTAAATATAGGTGGTTGATTATATGGGTGAAATTAATTTCTAGATTATTTATTTAACACAAACACAACGAAAAAGGTTAAATAGAAATATACGTTTGTCCTTTAAGGAAAATCCAAAACTTTCGTAAAAGTGCTGGTCAGTAATAAATTCAACGGACTATTTCTCATTTTAATCTCGACTTTATCTCGCATTAAACTTAATTTATATAGCACTACTCTCATAGAAACTTGCACAGTACGACTTATAAAGAACTTTAGAACTTAAACATACGACGTCGTATAAGCAGATGTGAATGCATGATTAAAGGAAGAAGAAAACAATAAAAGCTTTTGCAGTTATTACATTTTGGTTTAAAAATCTATATTCACAATAACCATTACAATTTGAAGCGTCAATAGCCTAATGATAAGGTATAATGGGAGCTACGGTTACGTGGTCTTGGGTTCGATTTCCACCGAACTTTTGCTGTAGTATTAAATTGACTATTGTAATAGTAATATCCAGGCTTACGGTTTATCCACCCATATCCAAGTTTAGAGTTTAGTATAGTTACAAGTAATGTTAGGGAATAAAAAGAATCTGCTGATATTTAAAAATAATGTAAAGTTTGTTTTTTTTATTTCATGTTAAAAGTTCAAATGCTATAACCACTAGACTGAGCTGCCGTCAATTTTCAGATAACACAAAGGTAAAGCTCGAAATGTCAACGGCACGTTTTCAAAGAGCATTGCTAATAAACCCCTCGTATTTTTAGTTTATCCTCTTTCGTAGCCAATTCATTTTACAGAATTGGCGATATTTCCAATAAGGAAAACGTTGAATTTGCTACAAAAGTCAAGTTTGATTATTTTTAAATTTTTAAACACATATTTTACATGGTAAAGTTTTTCCGTGATCTGAACAAAGCTATTTACTACGTAAGCAAGAAAGAAAAAAAATATACCAATTTTAGTCAGTTAAACTGTTTACCTAACCTGTACGCTTTGACACCAAAAATTAAACAAAAAAATGGGACTTACTCGCAAGCACTACCTTTCGGATAAAGAATTTTCAAAATCGGTCCACCAGAGGCGGAGTTATGCCGTAACACACATAAAAAACATACAAACTAATTGAGTACCTCCTTCTTTTGGAAAGTCGGTCAAAAATTAAATCATCATTTAGAAAAATACCAGTTAATAATTAAAAAAAAGGCTATGATATTTAACCATTAATAGAGGTAAATTTAAAGAAAACAAATATACGATAACAAGTTAGTCTAAAAATTTTCCTTATTATACGCTGCCTTTGAAAGTCACATTGAACTATTAAGTACTTCCAGTTTGAATGACTTTATGAAAGGTCCAACGCTTAAACGTTTTAACTAGTACCGAGTATTTTGAAGTTTTAGATATTTTTGACGATTCAGAATTTAGTTGTGTCAAATCTCATATTTTATATTTTATTTGAAATGTGATTAGATTCTATTTTTTCTTATGAGTTCGCTGCCTTATTTATGCTGAGTTTCTGAAGTTTCCACTTATTTTGTTTACCTAACGATTCAGTGGAGTTATGTTGACCTTAGTTCCAAGGAGGAAAACTCAAGTTAATTAGTTCGGAAACGCATTTCGTGAAGTTATTAAACCAATTACATAACGAATGATTAAAGGTAGCTGGGAAACCGACCGTGAATTAAACTTTGTAAGTTATAGTTCCGTTTTTTTCTTTTCTATTAATAATAATTTCAATTTCACATATTTCTTTTTTTAAATCTGTACTAAAACCTCCTTTTGTGTCTTCTAAGCAAGGCATATAAAATTTCCAACACTTCATAACAGTTGTCAGTTCATAAACGTGTTTTTTTCTCTCCGTAACGCGAATATTTCTAAGTGACCTCATTCAGGCCAGCTACTGGAATTACTTCACGCAACGTGTCCGGACTGCTGATGTAAAAATTTCACTGTAACCTTGACCGTGCGCGCGTGTTTATTTTGTGAGCAGCCGGAGTGTTATGAAACGCGTAAGTAAGTCAATGTGCGCAGAGATTGCGAGCGGAAGAGTTTTTTATGTCATATTTAATCTTATTTCGTACGAAACATGTTTGCATTTTTGTATCGTGTATACTTTTGTATATTCCTACTTTTTATTGTAAGTTTCAATTAGTGACACTTTGTTTATTATATGTTTTCTTTCTTTTTATTCTCTTTGCCAAAAAAAAGATAATAAATATTGCATGTTCTACATTGAAATCTAAAGCATGACACACACGTTACAAATGCACAGTTTTAAGTGAACAGACAAACTATACCGATAAAACTGGCGTATGCAGGCAAAATTATAACTGCTATTATAGTTTTGCCTACACTTGCCAGGTTTAAAAGTTCAGTTCGATAGTCCAGTTAGAGCTGTTAAAATTTAAGGTTGAAGGGCTTAACGGTAAAATTAACATATAAGTAAAAAACGTTTTGTTTGTGATTTTCAAACCACAACATGTTTTTTCTATCGAGTCTCAGACACACTCGTGCAAATGCAAGCATTTATTTTAATTTACATTTGTAATCTATGTACTTATAATAGCTTATTTACATTCACATAGAAAGATAAACTGTTTGTTACTTTATTAAATAACAGTGTATTAAAAACAAGACATAAATCTAAATAAATATCTCTGACTGCGAATACATTATCTACACAATAAGGTTTTGAAAATTAATTGTCGGTTTTCTACACATAATTATAATAATTAAATTAATAGGTCCAATTACTTTTTTCGCGCTTGCCTAAGCCTTTTCAATTAATAATCATTGCGATCCGCGATTGTTTCCCAAGTCGCGGGCATTGCAAGCGAATTAGTAGTCCCGACTTGATCGACCTTCAGATACAACGCGAATGCCTAAGTAGACATTTGGGATGCTATATAGAAAGTCTTGCCATGCTAACAAGACCACCTTGCAAATGAGACATTTCCTAAAAACAACAGTAATATACGGGAGAATTAAGAAAGATAATGCTTTGTAATGTAAGCGAACCTCTTCATTCCAGGTGCCTCTGCGTCAGTTCTTATTTTTGTGACACAATCAGAAACCACAGACAATTGTTTTTTATCCCATGTTATTGTTTTAATATGCAAATGATTTCATATTAAGTATCCGGTACAGGATTTTGATACGCGAAGAAAAAAAACAGTTATAAAAACCGGTTCATTATCCCACGATAAAAACGTTAGTATTGAAAAACATATGAGAAAAATGCAAGTACAGTCGAGTGCATATGCATACACTCTCGGTTTCAAAAATATCTCAAACGTTCTCAACAATACCATGTATTCATGTTTGGACATATGAACAGATACGTCCATAAGTATTTTTCAGACCGAATGTCCTTACACTAATGTTTTGTAAATGGACATATTTATGTAGCTGACTGTACATGTTTTATGTTGAAGTCTACCTATTATAATTACATGCTGTCAAAGGATAACATTTGCTTTGTTGTAAAAATTAATGCCATAACCGTGTTCTAACTTTAGTTCTCACCAAAATACTATTAATAGTTTTATTTACTGGCTAACCAAATACTGAGCTAGTACTATATTATTATACATTTTAATATAAATTAGGTAAAATTAAATGCATCTGGTAACACTAAGTCGTGCGTACATATTGTATCACTTCGGACAGTTGTGTGCAAGCCGCGATATTGACCCAAATTGTGTAACACGAGTCTTTAATTATTTTAAAGATGCCCAATTCTTCAAGGAACCGGAAAATTTTGTTAATTAATATCGCTTATTATGTAAATTAAACA